CAGACCGCGGGGGGAGGCAGGACCGGGGTGGGGGGGACGCGGGGACAGGATAACGCCCCACCGGGAAGGGAGAAGCCCCATCTGACCCGATCCGGGCCACAAACAGCTCCTGGGAGCGTGGGGGACGGGGACACGCGTCACCCCGGCCCCTTGGCCTTCCTCCCTGCGGTGACGAGGAGGATGGAGCATCCTCCACCCCACCCTGGTCCCTTGGCCTTCCTCCCTGCGGTGACAAAGAGGATGCAGCATCCTCCACCTGGCACCGTCCCCTCCAGCCAGCACCCCGTCCCCTGGGCCACCGGGTCCCCACCGATGTGGCATCCCCATGGGACGGTGCGAGAGGAGCCTGGGGGTGCAGAGAGCCCGGGTTTGGGTCCCTGGGGTGCTGCTTGGCTTCTCCCCACGTCCCCGTGGGGCGAGAAAGCGGACGGAGAGAGGGGCAGGCAACTAAAAAGCATCAGGACCTGGGCCCTGCTGCTGGGCTGGGTCCCCCCACAACGTCCCCACACCCAGCACCGATGTCCCCCAACCTGTCACCGTGTCCTGAGCCCGGGAGGTGAAGCCAGGATCCCCCCGGCAGTGCCCGCACCCATGTCACCTCCTGTAGCCTCGTCCCTGTGCCACCAAGCCCAGAAGGGACCAACCCAGCTAGGAGACACCAGTTTAAAAAACAACAAAAGATGACCAAAAAAAAAAATAAAACAAAAAATCAAGAAATGGAGAGAACCCGGCAACCCCCGACCCCCCCACGGTGGCACTGGTGGGGCGCTGGGGACAGCAGCGGGGAGCGTCCCCTTCCCAGGGCGGGAGGTAGCAGGAGGGGGACGGCGGCGAAGCCCTGGAGGGATGCGGGGTGGTGACAGCGAGGTCCCCGCGGGAGCTGGGGACAAGAGCCCGGGGTGGGGAGTCAGTGGGTGCCCAGGGTGGAGGTGATGGTGAGAGCGTCCTCCTCCTGGATGGTCTCCAGCTCCTCGGTCTGCACCGCCTGCGTGATGAGGGTCAGCTCCTGGCACAGCGTCTCGAAGCGGTAGCTCACGCGGATGTCGGGGACGTTGGTGCGACGGATGTCGTTGCCCTCCGGACCCTCCTTCAGGTAGTGGGGACCCAGCCAGTAGCTCTTCACCTGGGGAGAAGAGCAAGGAGAAGCTCCCCCAGCTGCCTTGCACCCTTGGGCGCTGCTGGCGGGTCCTGCCGCCGGGCGCTCGGGGGTCCCGGCGGGAACGGGGGGATGTTACCTTGTGGGAGAAGCCGCTCATCAGGACGCTGTTGCGGGCCAGCTCGCACATGTCGCAGGAGCTGAGCTTCCAGACCTGGGTGGCGATGCTGTACTCCTCCATCAGCGGCTCCTGGGGGGGGGACACAGCCTCAGCACCCACCCATGGGCCAACCCCCAGAGAGGACGGGGGTCCCCGGCTCCTTCCACCCTCTCTGGACCATCGTCATCCTCTGAAGCCCTCTGGCATCACCTTGCTCCTGGCCACCACCAACCCCGCTCCATCACCGTGACTTGGCTGGTGGCCACCCCGTAGCCGTTTTTGAGGGGGGTCGGTGGCCCGGGACCCCCCCACTCAACCACGTACCTTGGTGAAGTGGAACTGGAGGGGGTCGTCGGTGGAGAGGGAGACCATGAGGCCCCGCGAGAGGTACTCGGGCAGGGGGTTGCGGTGGTAGCTGAGGAAGAGGCTGTTGTTGCTCAGCGGGGACATGGCGATGCCGATCTGCGCCAGGTAGTAGAGGTACTGCAGGACGGGGGCCTGGGGGGGGACAGCAGGGTGAGGGGGGGTCCCAGCCACACACCCGGCCCCCACAGGCACCCCCATCCCCGCTCACCTTGCGGAGCAGCAAACCATGGGAGATGTTCTCCGAGACCATGAAGCCCGAGACGAGGTGATGGATGGGGCCGGCCTCGCCGCAGTGCGGGCGCAGGACGAAGGTGTGGAAGCCTCGCTTCCTGCAACATGGGGCCCGACCATCATCATCGGACCCCCCCCAGGCCCCCCCAGGACAGGCTGCTCCGACACCAGGAAGCCCGAGACGAGGTGATGGATGGGGCCGGCCTCGCCGCAGTGCGGGCGCAGGACGAAGGTGTGGAAGCCTCGCTTCCTGCAACATGGGGCCGACCATCATCATCGGACCCCCCCCAGGCCCCCCCAGGACAGGCGGAGGTGCCGGTGTCCTTACCGTCGGAGGTGGTTGAGGACCGTCATGTTGGCGTACATGTAGTACAGGTAGTAGGAGTAGGGTGGGTTGTCCTCTTCCACCCAGTTGCCCGGCAAGGGGCTGTCCAGGTTGAAGATGTGATGCTCTGGTTTGGATTCATCATCCACACTGTCGAAGCCATCCACCTGCAGGAGAGACAGCCCCGGGGCGGGATGGTCACCCCTCCACCAGAAGATCTGCCCCAGCCCTCAAGCTTGGGGGCGCGGGTGTCACCGGTGTCCCCCGTCCCACCCCGGGAGCAGGACGTGGTGCTCACGTGCTCCAGGAAGAGGTGCAGCTCTGGGTGTTGGGCAGGGTGGATGGTGGCCTCGTAGAGGGGCAGAAAGATGTTCTCCAGCATTTCCTGGAAGTTGGCCAACTGCTTCTTCGTCCGGTAGACATCACTGCAGAGGAACGGACCTCTCTCAGAGACGTGTATCCCATCCCACCCCACCCCAGCCACCAGCGGGGTGTCCTTGGTCTCCCCACCCAGGACGTGGCCCCGGTTGAGGGTATCTGCCCCCCCATTACTCACAAGAGCCGGGGCACCTGCACAAGCCAGCGGACGTTGTTGGAGTGGACGCGGTGGTTGACGGCCCAGCGGGCCAGCTTGTCCCACTCGTCCCGGGAGCGGCCGTAGATGGAGAGCCGCAGCTCGGCGTTTTGGTACTTGCTCTCCTCCAGGTCGGACATCACCTCCTGCCGGGGAGGGGCAAGTGTCACCCATCGGCCGCCGGGAAGGGGGATGTGGGTGGCATTGCCACCATGGGCATTGGAGGGAGGGGGATGTGGAGGGTGACCTATCAGGGCCGCTCACCTTGATGATGTGGGCAAAGTACTTCCCCGAGACGCGGTTGTCCGTCTTGATGAAGATCTCCCGCAGGATGGACTCGCCGATGGGGTTGTACTTGGCGTTGAACTTGTCGAAGCGGTGGAAGGTGTTGCGGTCCTGGCAGGGGGGGGCAGACGTGAGCTGAGACCCCTCATCACCCCAGAGCCACCACAACACCCCTATCCAGAGCCCCCGGCACCCCCATCCCACCCTGGGACAACCCCCGCAGGAGATCCCCCACCCCAGCCAGCGATGAGCTGGGGGCCCTGCTCATCTCCAGGATTTGGGGGTGTCCCCCGTACCGCGTGGACATCCAGCGTGTCCACGCTCAGGTCGTAGGCGGTGAGGTTCATTGTCTCGAAGACCTCCTTGAGCGTCTGCTCCTTGCCCTTCTCCACGTGGACGATTTCATCCAGGTGCTTCTTCATGGCTCGCTTGATGAAGCGCAGGAGATGCTTCTGGTTCATGCAGGACGAGGCGTGGATGTGGGTGTCCACCTGCACGGCCGGAGGTGGTGCTCAGCCCCGAGAGCCTCCAAGAGCTCCCCGATCAAGCCAGGACGCCCCACCACGAGCCGGCGGGTACCTTGCGGATGTTGTAGAAGTCGCGGTGGGGCACCTTCTTCTGGGCCGCCAACTCCTTCATCTCGTTGAGGAGCACGTGCATCTGGAACTTGGAGCTCAGGTACTGCAGCCGGCGGTAGCAGAAGGATTTGCTGCCCGGGGCGGGGAGGGGGCATCAGTTTGGGGGAGAGGAGGAAGAACATCCAGCCCCGAAAGGCCGGTGCCCACCAGGACGAGGGGGACGCGGCTCTGGATTCCTGGACCCCCCTCCCTCTGCACGGCGACTGTGAGCAAGGACAGACGCACGGACGTGGGAGCTGCACCAGTACCATGTGTCATAGCCACCAGCATGTCCTCTGGTGCTGTCCCCAAGGTTCTGTCCCCCCCTCAGACACCCCCACGGCGGGAACCCCCCCAAGACACCCCCACGGCAGGACCCTTCTCCTTACATGGGCCCGTTGATGATCAAAGCCATGAGGAAATTCATGTCGGCGATGAACTCCTGCAGGTCGGGGTCCAGCAGGTCCAGCTCCGTGCTCCTGGGGGGGGGACAGAGGTGGGTCACATGCGGGGACAGGGTCCAGCAGACTCCCCTTGTCCCCCACGCAGCCCCCCAGCAAACTCATCACACCAGTGAGCGACTGCCCCCACCCCGCGACTCACTTGTCGGTGAGGTCCTGCTTGGTGTAGACGTGCACCACGCCGTCCACCATCTTCAACCCAAAGCCCAGATCAGCCGGCATGGTCTGGGGGTCCCACGTCTCGTAGGGGTGCTGCTCCGCGAACGGGGGGTGCACGGGGGCATCTGTGGACAGGAGACACCCAACGAGAGATGCATCATCGGATGGCTCCCCTAAAACTCCTCCAGCACCCCATCCCAGCATGAGGACCCCACCACCCCCTGCTCACCAGCGGCCACGGGGGTCTCGGGCACCTCCTCGTAGCCGCGGGTCTCCAGGGGTTTCTCGGAGAGCTCCTGCAGGTACCGGGCGGTGGTTTTGCAGAAGCTCTGCAGCGACAACCCCATGTACTTCTCCCGGAGGAACAACGCCTTCACCACGCTCTTGGCCGCATCCAGAAGGTCCGTGAAGGGCACCTGGGCAGGGGGACACCAAAATAAACCAACCCCGAGGTGGGGGTTGACACCCTGAAGACCCCGACCCAGCCCCGGCGGGTGGCGGGGGGAGGCTCACCCCACATTTCTCCTCCCCGGAGATGGTGACCCGCTGGAATTCCCGCTCCAGCAGCGCCTCCCGCTCCTTGGGGACGTGGTCCACCAGGTCCTCGCTCTGCTCCTTGAAGAGCCTGCGGGTACAGATGGCGGCTGGTGAGACCAGGACACGGCTCATCCCTGTCCCCGCGTCCCCACGTCCCCCCGGGAGCTGCACCAGCACCCACCCCGGGGACTGTGGGTGACGTTGTCCCCAGGGATGCCACCAGCAGGTTCGGGGAGCTGGGTGCCACCCATGTCCCCGTTGGCGGTGGCATTGCCACCCCCCCACCCCAGACACATCCCCCAGCCTCACACGAGCACAACGAAAAGGGGGGGGGGGGACAGAGGACGAAATAACTCGTGACAGAGACAACTCCCAAGCGGAGACAGGAGGGAGGAGGACACGCAGCATCAGACCCCCCGTCTGGGGGGGTGACAGGGCCAGGCTGGGACCCTGTGCCACCAGCGGGGCTGGGACCCCCCCCAGCTCACCCCAACCCCCACCCCCCA